GATAAATGGTAAAAATGGAAGGCCTACCGCAGTTCCTCTCATCAGAGTTGTCCACACAGTCTGTCACATGGTCACATCTGTATTTGCTGGGGATGCACTGACCCTCCTGGCAGGTGAATTGGTCTGGATTACAGGTGCGTCCACCTGAAAAAGTGCAAGGTCAACTGCGTTCTGACTGAATTAGGTCTTCATCAGCAACAAATGATTTATAGTTTATCATGAAACCTCTGTCATACTATGAATAATGCCTCCAGTCTTTTTTAATCAAAAATGATATACAAATATAAAAAAGATAAGTATTATCTCCTAAAACTTATGATACTTTTTCTCTTTATTTTTCTATGTTCTTAACAGGTCCAGAAATTTGCTGGGGCTTTGAGTTTTTCATCTGTTAATTGTTTTTACCTAAATTCAGACTGTGCCAAAAATTGAACAGTAAGCTGATGGGGCCACCTAGTGGGTTTAATCCTGCATGCCTGCAAACCTTTTCTCAAGCTTCTTACTACTCCAGTAAAAGTTTGCATTGTATCATATGTAATTTCTATCAGTTGTATGTGTTCACCTTGAAACAACAGGAACAAAACCTGAAACGTCTGCTTGAAAATAAAGGCTAAAGAGATTATCTTTACCACAGGTCCTTTGCTCATCAGATCCATCGACGCAGTCTTCTTCCCCGTCACAGACAAATCCCAGTGAGATGCATTCACCACTTGTCACACACCTGAATTCCTGCGAGCTGCATGATGGAGGTGCTGCAGCAAGAAAACAAAACAGGTGAACTGTTTTCCCCCACAACTTCCTTCATTGCTTGTTTGCTTTTGCGCACGTCTTCTCTTTCCTTGCAGCTTGCCAGCCGTCCAAGTTTGGAAATCCTGAATGCTTAAATGGAAGGTAACTGAACTTCTTTCATAGAAAAATTAAGGCCAAAAAAAGAAGTCCACATACCTTCTATTTACACACTAGGAATGCTCCTCCGTTGTGTTAAAGAAAAAAAAAATGATATTCATATTGAAATTCCTGAATGAAACCAAAAGTTGGACTTACGGCAGTTCAGCTCATCAGAGTCATCTGTGCAGTCTTTCGTTCCATCACATCTCCATTCTATATTGATGCATTGGCCATTGGTGCATTGAAACTCGTTACTGGCACAACTTGCTAAAGGGAACACACAGAATCCAATATGAGAGCATGGGGTGTTACATTCATCAACACATTTTCAGTGTAAACATGTGTTATAATCTAGTACCATTTAATTAGTTCATCAAAAAGCTTTGTTTAAACTGATCAGAAAGTCTGAAAACATTTATTTAGCTAAATGTAAGATGTCGATTCATTGCATTTTGAATAGGGGACATGGGAAAAGACTTTAGGCATAGCATCTCCTTGCCTCTTTAGGCAAGTATTTTTATGAGGTTAAATTATGCATAAGCCTAAAGGATGAGAAACAAATAATACTACGAACAATCTGCCTTGTTCATCATTTCTGTTAAACCTTTGTTTTATTATGTTGGTTCTGTGCCAGTTTGCATTGAGTGACAATCCAAAAGCTGAAGTTTGAAGACACAGACACACCTGAAAATCTTGCTTTACTACTATTTTTATGACATTTAATTAAAATTTTTGAAGTCAGTGTCACTTTGATGAGAATAAAAACACATTTTACTGTTTCTTTGACAAATGAATGACCATGTTTATGGGAGCTGTTTACGCTCCATGTGCAGCATCTGAACCTGAAAGCATGTGATCTGGCCTTTAAAGAAAAGTTAATTCTTCACCACAAAAGACAAGCAACTCGTGATTATTTTTTTTTTTCTTATGCCCCGCTGTCATTTTAAATCAATTAATAGTGTGAGAATTTGCAGAATGTTATTAATTTTTGTATCAGATCGGAATTAAAATCAGCTGTTTATAGAAATTTGGCAATGTAATTAGATTAACTGAAAATTATTATACCTTCAAAATGAAAATATTTATTTTTTGATTAGAAAGGTTTTGTATGGACAATGAAACATTTGATTTTTTTTTGCATAACTCTGATATAGAAAACAGCTTTTATTGTTGTATTTTAAGAATTAAATAACTGACATAAATTATGCTATTTTAATAATCTGTATTATATTGCAAATCTTGATCTAATTCTTATTATAGTGGGATTGGAATGAAGACCACTGATGAAGGGTCCTGCATGATAGCTTGTTACTTAAAATGATATTTGTTAAGAATTAGAGCAACAAAAATTATTGAACTGCATACAATTTGATTATATTGCATACATATACATATAGCATTGTTTATATTACATCTTTTGAGTTTTATAAAACAACAAAGATGATATAATTTTCAAATATGAAACTATTTCAGAAAGATTTTTCACATATTTGTATAATAAGCATCCAAAACATTCAGAAACATTTAGTCTAGTAAAAGAATGTAAATATGCTATTGAAAATAAATAAATTGACATTTTTGTTAACAATCGCTTCAAGTTATTCTTTTACTTGATCTAGATATGCTTGAAACTGTACAACGAATTTTGAGTTGAAAATATATTTACCTTGAACGAGTTGAATTCCTTGTGACAGCAGAAGAAGAGACAGAAGATGAAGACCTTTCAGGTCCATCATCAAAGGCTCAGTTTTCCTCGCCGTTGCTCCTGTGTTTCACTACTAAGGTGTTAGTTCGTCCCAATGTCTGTACTCATGCTTAGCCTGCAACCATGACTCTCTGAGGGCAAATGATCTGGAGTGAGGTGATGAATCTCAGATTGAGATGTAAAAGCCTGAGCAGGCAGCAGATTGGTAATGTGACTTTGGATTTTATGGCTCTTTACTTAACATAAACTTCATCTAAGATTAACTTTTACCTGCAGATATGTTGTCTACGCTAGCAAAAAAGAAAAGGCAACTTGTCATCTTTTTGTAAGACTGTGGCAGGAAGTTTGCAACACTGAACTAGTCATTTTACTTAAGTTTATTCATATCTTTTGAGATAGATACGATCAGATATTTTCTGATCATTTCATCCTCATGTTGAATTCACTTTTTTATTTTCATACATCATACATTGATGATTTATAGTTATGAAATCCAGCATAGGATTTATATATCATTTTCATTGGTATCCCTTAGAAGAATCCCTGAGCAGCATGTAAAGTACCCAGTGTTGAAAGCACCTAAAAGTCTAAAAACATAGACCAGAGGTGGCGAAACATCTTCAAATCTTGAAAACCAAGTCCAGTGGATATTTTTTGAATTTTTACGGAACATAGACCAGAATTTATTATCGCTCATATATTATAACGGGATTACAAAATGCTTCCCAATTGTTCATTAACCACCCTGTTGGCTATTATGTTACATCACTGCCACTAAGCTAAAATCAGTGTCTTTGAAGCCTAAACAAGCTGAACACATGACTTGATGTAACTCTACCTAAAATGTGAATTATTTACGATTCACAGTCATATTGCAGAAGGAAGATAAAGGCTGGGTGGCAGACTGAGACCCTTCCTCTTTTTAAAACAAATTCTTTTTAGGTTTTGCCAGAAAGTCTTCACTGAATCTGAGCTGGAATTAAACGGAGTCATTTTAACAATGTGATATTTAAATGGTTTGAGCTAAAACATTTTGTGGAATATCTGCTTTTTTCATTTATTTCTTTTTTTTTTATCATTTGTTTAGCTAATATAGCTCTGGAAATTGATGTCCCAGAGCTATCTGATAGCCCCACAGGTTTGCTTTCACAAGCAGACCAGTATGACAGTTACCATAAGGTTCTGCTTGATATTTGTATATTAAACCTTATTGAATATTATTTGGGGAGTAAAATCTTATACAAAGGACACGGAAAGGCAGGCGAGAAAGAAAGAGGGGGATAAAAATTAAGGGCAGAGAGGGAGGGAGACAGAGACAGGAAAGAGTGCATGAAAATAGAGAAAATAAATCAAAACAGCAAAAATAGACAACACAGAAGATATACAGCAACTCCTAGAAGTCTGCTTCAGTACCTGTATGGGATTAGAGAAACAGAAAACAGAGAACATAAGAGCAAAAAGAAGACAACTGAAAACCAAAGTAAACTTTAAAAGAAAAAGCTTCAAGAGCAGCAGTTATCCTTTCCATGTGTGTCAGAGTCAGAAACTACGTGATTAGACAATTTAATCAGGGTAGTATATATCTGCAGCTGCAGCTCAGTATTTAGTATTAGTGTGTATCCATGAACACCTGGAATCAAATATCTTGTTGTATGTTTTAGGCACAGCACAATGAGTTATTCTCAGCCGATCGGTCTTTCTCAGATGACTCCCCTTTATTGGGCAGATCCAAGGTGACAAGAAACCTGCAAACCTACAGAAAACATTTGAAATAACTTGTCCACTTAGGACCCATCTCCCCTCTCCATCCTCAACATCACTGTGTTGACCACCTTTGGTTCCCAAGTAAAGACATTCTAATTTCCTGAGGTTGTCCTCAGGTGGACACAGTTCAGAAGAAGGCCCAGGCCAAGTTTAGACCTCTTTCAGGTGCAGCTTCAACAGCAGCTTCTAGTCATCTTTAACCCTCATATAATTTATTCTGTTTTGTACACATCAATGGGTTTGGGTCATCTAAAAAAACTGGACAGTTATACTGAAACAGACACTTTGGTTTCAGAGAGGACACTCAGAGCTGACCATCCCTACATCCATGACCTGCACAAGTCAAGGGCCAAACAAGGAATAGCTAACATCTCAGCCAAGTCCAAACCTTCTGGTCAAAGGCTTTTCTCATTTTTACCTTAAGGAAAGCACTATAGAATGCTGATCATGAAAATGGACCAACAAAGTCATATTTTCTATGTTCTCTGTTAAACTTAATGAACACCAATTAAGACCCTCTGCACTATCACAACCTGCATTCCAACTATTATTTAATAAAAACTCTGCACCTGCGCAGTTGAACACGCTGCTATTATCCTGTTTTTAATCTAGTCTTCCGAAGCATTTTTCTATCTGCTGTGGTTGTTTTTTATCAATGTGAGGAATGGAAAACTGAAGTCCGATTCTGTGTTAGTGAACGAAAACTTAACAATTAAAGTTGCTTCTGATTGTAATTCTGGAAGAACAGTTACCCTGGTCTTAAGCAGCTTTCATCCTCTAAGATCACAGGTACCAATGTGTTTATGTCCATTATTCTTTACATCTATTCTGCCAACTTTCTTATGTTTGCTGAAGATGCCCATACCCACAGTATGCTGCTGCCACCACCATGTTCCATGCTGGGGTTGATCTGCACAGGTGACGTTGTACCACATATTGTGGCAAGCTGCAAATGGGGTTTCTAACTGTCTTCTTTCAACAATGCCTTCTTTCCTGTCTATTCCTGACCAATTTGTCAGTTTAGGTGGATGGTTATGCCATGATAGGTTTTCACCTATAGCTTTTACACAAAAACATTTCAGTTTTTCTAGGTACCATTTCCAGATTGTCATATTTGTGGAGCAAATCTCCAATTTAAAGCTTTCTCTAACTGCTTTGCTGTTATGTATAATTAAGGAGAGTCGGAGGCTGCTTAAAGAGGGATTTTTCATAAAATGAGGAACCATATGGAAAACCAATGAGCATCCTTCTGACCAACAACCTTCCTTCCTGTCTACAGCTATTAACATCTAAAACAGCTTGTTAAAGAAACCCTTATAAGAGTTACAAAAATTTTATTCTCTTTAACGACAGATAAAGTTATTTAGAATTGAAATTAACTGAATTCAATCATCCAAATTTTTTGAACTTAAGACTTGATCTGGGGTTTATCTGTAAAGCAATTGAATTTCAGCTCTTGCTGCTTTCCTTTTCTTAGAAATGCCAGGAAATGTCTCTTGAGCACCACATCAGACTTACAGTCAGTCTGGAGCCACTATAAGTCATCCCTCTTTCCTGTTGGAAGAAAATTTCATTTGATTATGAACATGTGTTGATTTTATTTCTGCATTATGTTTGTATTGATAGATTTTTACTGAAGCAGCACATTTTTGTCGTATCCAAGAAAGCACAAAGACATCTGTCAAAATACAACGCACAGCAGTTTTATGTCAAATTAATCCTGCTTTATCAGAAAATTGCCATATTTACAATCAGTAAAAACTGTTGATAAGTAGCTTTTGCTGACCTTATTGGATTTTTATAGTGCATGGCCTTGTCACAGAAATTCCTGTTACCTGTTTTATGACTTTGCAGTAGGAACAAGGAGCAGGGCGTTTTGGCAGCATAAATGAAATAGAAGCTTAGTCAGTGTCAGATTACTAAAGGAAAAGAACAACAGTGTCATCCTGCTATAGATTAAATCTGTTGGAACAGATTGTTAATATGAACTGTTGGATCCCTGAACACAAGAACACTGAAGCAGCTGTTAAGTATGGTTTTTGCCAGGATTATGCTCCGTTTCAGTTTTGCTGCCTGTGATGCTCTTATATTGCACAAGTGGGGCAATTAGGCCTTCCAAGGGAAGACTATCTCTAAAGTATTTATATTTAACAGATTAAAACACACAATCTCTGGATGTGGATGACGTGGTTCTGTTGGATCCCTCCTACTAAGACCTACAACATGTACCTGGATGATGATCAGCTCCACCAAGTCCCAGGGCATGGTTCTTGGCTGGGAAAAGGTGGCCTGTCCCCTTTAGGCTGAAGGAGAGTTCCTGCCTCAAGAAGGGAGAGAGACGCTTCTCCTATGCGTGAGAGGAGCCATTTGAGGTGGCTCAGACATCATTTTGAGATAACTCCAGGACACTTTCATCCAGAGCTGTTCCAGGCACATCCAAATTGAAGCCCAGGGGACGATCCAGGACATGCTAAAGAGACTAATCTCTTTTGACTGGCCTGAGTATGCCTTGGTGTTCCCCTTGCTGAGCTGGAGAAGGTGTCTGAAAAGAGGGAAGTCTGGGAGTCTATGGTGAGACTGCTGCCCCAACCACCTGATCAAGTGGTGGATTGGAAGCCAGAGGACAGGAACGCTAGAACGAGCTGGAGAGCATGATGGAGTAGATGGGTTAGAGGTGGGTCGAAGCTCAGCTGAAGAGCAGGACAGTCTGTGACCAGAGAGCTTTAAGCAAAACTTTACATGATGGTTGGCTGAAGGGGAATGAGGACTTGACAGTGTTTGGCTGGAGCAGAGGTGCATGGTGAGGTGTTTGAATGCAGGTGATGCTTGAATGAGTCTTCCAGTTTGAATTTGCATCTTAACCTCATTTCACAGTTTTGTTTTGCATTTTTGTTTTGCACCCTTAGCAGTTATTTTGTTTTCATTGTCCTGCATAATCTAGGATTGAGCCAGATGCCGGCTAATAATCAATACGTGATCTGCTTAGACAACTATGCTTATGCCAGGGCAACTGTTTAACTCCTCTTTGTGGTGTTATTTCCGTCAATTTTGTCTTATTGACGAATTCTTCAAGAGTCTGATGTTGGGGCGTGCAGGTGGTGCAGTGGGTAGTGCGCACGACCCATGTACGGAGGCCTCAGTCCTCGACGCGGCTGACCCAGGTTTGAATCCAGCTTGTGGCCATGTCTCTCCCTCTCTCTCATACCCCCTTTCCTATCAGCCTACTGTCAGAAAAACTAACAACTAGTGCTGTAACAACTCAAAAAAAAATAAACTCTTCTGGAGCCAAGTTAAAGTCCCCTACACAATAACATGATCAGTCTGGAAATTAGTATTTAACGATGTTATCTGATATAAAAGCTTTATTTTTTTTTGGGGGTCATAATTATATTCACAAATATTAGCATTATTGGAACAGTACCAACTTGCAGTTGCTGTTTCTTGCAATTTGATCTTTTATAAACACAAATTTCCTATCAGATCATCTAACTTCCACAAACAAATCCTCATTGTTCTCTAAAAGGATATTCATCTATATTTCACCACATTCTTCTTTTTTATGGAACTTTATGGAATCTGTTATAAAGTTTAGTACAATAATGAAATAGTTTTTGTTAAAGATTTAATTGTTGAATTTGTTAGTTCAATTTCTAACATTACGCTCTCTCTGCTATTTCTCATAGTAGCTTCATCTGGTCTGTTCCTGTTTGGCTGAGAAATATCAGCTGTGCTGCTGCCATCAACACCTTTGTTTAAAGATGTTGGAGCTTGGCCTGTTTTTCAGCAAAGTCTTATTTACCTGACTGTGACTGGCTGGATGTGCTCATCTGCCTGGTTGTGTGTTTCCTGGATGGGGCCGCCTGTAGAGCTGGTTGATAGTTGCCTTTTGTATCCCTGCTTCTGTCTTCGGGCCTCGGCAGATGGCCGTTCACACTGAGCCTGGTTCTGCTGGAGGTTTCTTCCTGTTAAAAGGGAGTTTTTCCTCTCCACTGTCGCTACAAGCATCTCTAGTGTTGAGTCGATGCAATGAACTGGTTTCCGTTAGATAGAAAACTTTTAATCAATTTGACTGTATGATCTGGTTGAACTGTAAAGTGCCTTGAGATGACGTGTTGTGAATTGGCCCTATATAAATAAACTGAATTGAACTGAAAGATTCATTAGATGTTAATACTAATTTACACAAAATATAACCAAGCTAAATAAACATAGCCTTAAACATGGTTAATGCACCGTTAATTCATGTATTTAAAAACAGCTATATTTGAATTTACACAATTTTCCAGCTTTAAATATGAATAATTAGAACATACACTTTGGGATAAATTTATTAATTAACCATTCATTAAAAAATCATTTTAGTTAATGATTATTTATAAGGATCTGGTATTAAAGAAAAAATAAATATATCCATCAATAGTACCTATTTTAAGTATTATGCAATGGCTATATTTTTCACAGTTTCAAGAAACTCTTTTACACAGTTTTTACAGCACGAGAAACCACCATGGCATCTGCTGTTGCTTTATTTGCTACAGTTATTGGCTAAAGCCACACTTTTGTTAATGTTTTTAATATTGTGTAGAATCAAACCTACAAAGTGCCACAGATTATCAATCTGGTTTGCCAGGTTCACTGTCCATCTCACTTTACTTTTAATGTTAACAAGACAAAAAAAGAGAGAAAACTTTTTCAAATGATCTAAATCTTGTTTTAAAATTTTTTTAAAGTATTAAATAAATATTGCATCCTTCAAACTGAATAGTAAACGTTCTTGATACATGAATAAAAGGCAAAAATCAATATGGTATTTACAGTCAGGAATAATAAATCAGAAAGCACATTCCAATAAGGCTTGTCACATTAAAGTACTTTTTAAAATTAACATAGTTTAAACTAGTATGAAATATTATTTTTTTCTGGATCACATTTCTGTAAAAAAAAATTTATGAAAATATAAATAGTGTGTTTG